AGCTGAGCTCAGAAGAGTTTACATACGAATTTGGGTAGAGTGTACAGAAACCACAAGAATCACCCGAAATTTCCTAGAATTTCCATGTGTCGTCAACATATATTTCCCCTACTTATGTTCAGGTGAACCAAAGCTATAATGCTGTGTTTAATTATTGTAATCGTAGTGGTATGGAGATGACGACTGAGCAGCAAGCTGTGTCCTATGTTCTGGCTACTGGTAATGACTTCTTCTTGTTGTTGTTGATTGTATCTGGCTTCACTGAGGGAGAGGGAAGTATGGAGTAGATAGTGTTAAGTATGATTTTATGATAACGATTATTACATAGTCTCATCATAGTGATATGAGGACAATACGTATTGTGGTCCGTACTGGTCGTGTACATACACATTAACAAGTGTGATGAAATGACGACAAGAAGAACTCTTCACATGAGGTTGGTGGTGAGGAGACTTGATATTATGATTATAAGTAATTACATGAATACACAAGGCATGAAATTTACAAAATTCAGTCTCGGTAGTCTTTTTTGACAATACAGATATATGGTCCTGATGATGGGCATGTGAGCATGGAGTTGTGGTATTTCTGAATGTGTTTAGGATCGTCCTGTGCTATGGCGCTGTTGATGAAACGATTCCAACCAGAATCGATGAGGAAAGTACCGTGGGTGGTGAGTATGAAGAGAGCCGACTTATTCTTGTTGTGGATGTGGTCATTGTAGTTGCCGTATATCTCTGTCGCTACTGGGGGAACTGCCAACCTCTATTTTACGCGACGATCTGAGCTCCAAAATGGTAATAGTTTATCGATAGTAATGATCATAAGAGTTTCACCACCCTAGTGATATGAAAAACAGTAGTGAAGAATATATTTCTGCGTATCACCGCGAATATCGGGTTTTTCACCAAGTGTTACGCTGCTCCACGTAAAACGGGTGAAACTCCATTGTTGAATATATTTGCAATTTTGGGATGATGATGGTGATGTCAAGATATGGACTATTACCGATCTGCTTTAAAATATTTATTCTACCAAAAATTGGGGGAATATATGTTTCCTTCTCTCGGCTGAGCTAAGCAGCTTGTTCATCGGACTTTTACCCGTTTTACGCGAAGTGACGTGGCACGCTGTGAAATACGCGATATTCGCCTTATGCAGTAGTCGTGGAATATATTTTTCACTAGTGTTTTCCATATCACGGGTGAAACTCCATTGATTTTTGGAGGTTCACATACGATAAGGATAGGAGTTTGCAACAACTGATAATAATTTTTCAAAATTTCCCCGGTTGACCATGTGCATATTTCCCCACACTGTGAGTGAGAGAGGTGTATCAATGGATGAGTTGCCTTGGTCCAGGCACACCTATTCTGGATCCGGATACTAATGAGCAGCTAGGAGTGTCGAAGAAGGCTGGGCAGATTGCCTTTATGAAAACTTGGATATCAAGGTGATGGTTAAATTTCTGGATATGGTACGGAATACGGCGTTTTGGTATGAGAAACGGAAGTAGTCATTTTTGAAGCTTCACCCGTTTTACGTGAAGTGGCGTAGTACTGTACGGGTAAAACGCGATGTGAGGTGAATTGAAAACACAGGGCGAATTAGACCGGACAGATTACCCCATATTATGTGAATGAGTTGTAATACTCCACGAGAAGTAAGCTCTTTCTCAAGTGGGATGCACAATACTCATCATCTCTTAAGAGGCATCGCATTTCATCACTGTGAAATGGTTTTTATCATACCTATCTAGTGTACCCGATAGATGTGATGTAAACCCGCACGTATTGATATAATTTTAATCCTTTCGCTGTCCCGCGAAAACCGTCGTGATTTTCTCAGAAAATTTTTTCTGATCGTGTGTAGCTCGGATGTAAGTCTAAATTCGATACCGTTGTTCCACAAAGTGGACATCGCCGGCAAGTTGATTTATATTTGTATTTTGTGCCTGCGACATTCCGATTCTGACTTCCTGGAAGTCAGCACCGATATAGAGTAGCCGAATAGTTTTATATAAAATATCGGCATTCCGTTCAGCTTCATATCTACTGAAATATGAATGTAAAACCGGAAATCGAAAATCGTATTCGAACAGATATACACTTTTCCCGTTTCGAACTACATCTGGTATCTATACACATATCAGTATAGTTTCTAGCATTAGTATAGTTATTCACGATTATCGGTTTGAATTTTATTATTTACCGCACTTCTATCACATTCTTCAGGACTCTGGTGTTGCCGATACCGCTACTAATATTACCAAGTTCACTCAAGAAGTGGGGATAGAACGTTCCGGCTTGGTGATCTCAATATTGCCCTGGCAGGTTTATCGTTGAAGCCATGTGGTTTGGCGACCTGCGTCGTCATCGTCGCGGTGCGATATCGTTGGAGGCATTCTTGGTCATCCTCTCCCTCACGTTCGCGTTACCGGCGTGTGTGGCGTTGTACCCGCAGAAAATGGAGGTAGATCTGTTGTTAACCTGTCAGGGGTACTTCCTTGGAAGCATTGTTCTGGTTGGGGTTCGTTGCAAATTATTATCATTTACATTTATTTGAAAATTACAATATATTATATTGTTTTCATGATTACCACATTTTCTGCTGGTATATTAACCATGTATATTTTAGTGGAAAATATAATGGAATTTCACCCTAGTGATATTAGAAACACTAGTGAAAAACGCATTTCACGACTACTGCATAGCGCGAAAATCGCGTTTTCCACCGAGTTTTACGCCACTTCACGTGTGGGGGCATGATTACTTGGTTTTAAGGTATCTGTTGCTTCGCTAGAGCCGGAGTTCCTCGCACTACGTAATCGTCATGGTGGTAGAATGTCTCATGTGATGGTTAATAAAGGTCTGTAGGAATGAGCTGGCTGAGAATTATGTTTTCAAGATATGTTTAATGATCTTCAGTGTTGAGTTATGTGTCGTCACTTAGTCGTAGTTGACATTCTCCCGTTTGCTGCGTTATTTTCTGATGGTTTGTATTCGCCCTGCAGTTCTGTCAGACCTGCCTGCTATGCAGGAATGTAATCTCATGTGCCTGCCGGAGAATTACCAGGTGAGTGTATATAGGAAATTGTGATGGTAGCAATGAATTGTCTTCAGATGAAATATTATTTCTATCACATACTGAGCTGGCCACAGCTGCTCTATGTTGCTGAGGATACGAATCGAAAAATTGTTGGATATGTGGGGAATTTGGCAGCATACATGTTGTGCAGAGGAATGGGAATTAGGTGTTGGCCAAGATGGAAGAGGACGCGGGCTCGGAACCACCCAATGGACACATCACGAGTCTTGCAGTGCTTAGGTGAGTTCAGGGGGGATTATTGTGGGTGTGCTCAATTTGATACATTGGCACTATTTTGAGAAAAGAGCGGCCGATCGTTCCTGGATGCGCTTCGAGGTGCATAGGGAGACATTGCATGAAATGCAAGAAAACTGTTTCACTCGGCGTGTTCAATGGACCACTGCTGAGCTTCAACATTGAGAGTTCTCAATAGTACTATCCTACTAATGCTACCTGCCGCTGTAAAGATTGCTGAGCATCCAGTGCTCATAGTCTCTTGGGTTATTACGCGCTGGAGGATGAAGAAGCCCTATCTGTGATACTGCTAGCTTTATCTCGGCTTAGACGCCCGATACGTTGACGGATGGCGATCTCAGCTACTATGTTTAAGATGTTGGTAGTTTCTATGGTAGTGTTTCGAGATTCAGCAGGGCGGGACCGCAGTACTGGTACGCCAATTGCTGGCCCGCGTGTGTTCTGAATTATTCACATTACGTGTCTGCGATGTGATGATAACTCCGTCGTGTCACTGCATGTTCATCAAATTCCCTAAACGGAAAAACTGGCCGAACGGTCACTCTATCATATTGATTTGCACTTGACCAGAGGCTTCACCACAAGTGACTTGTGATACATGATTTATCATACATCGCTTAAGCCTTGCCCGACTGATGCAGTTCTTGCTTGACGGTAGATCTTCCTCCTCTACTGATCTCCTGATGCGTTACATTACGTTTGGTACTTTAATATCATCCTTACGGTTCCACGTACGAAGCTGTGATTTCCCTAATGCACTCTACTATTCGTCACATGCTTTTCATCGTGGACATGCACGTGATTTGCTCGCCTCTGCGCTTCTCAAGGCTGGTGGTTGGAAACGCAATGCTGTGCTCCGATAAACTTAGCCCACCGCTCGTCTGATCACGAAACGCTCTCTATGTTTCGTCTTAGACGAGATTGACGATGGGAATCTCCCTAAGAGAGTCACCTTCTTGTTGGCGTGGTGCCTTATACTCGGGCACTCCTGATACTATCGTCTTTCTCATAAGGCTTGCGTTCCACAGGCTGTGAGATAATTTCGCGAGGGTAATCTTGCCCTACATTACTCGGCATCACTCGATGGGGTTGATTCGGATATCATTTTGTCGGTTGCTCGAGCTCAGCAACACACACGAATAGACTAGTGCTGTGTTTCTCGGAGCGGTCTTGAAACTCAGCGGTGTTACCCCGACTGTTTTTCGCCGTAGCAACCGATCTAGGCGAAAAAATCATGGATTCCGAATCGCTGTGTTCTGTTGCATATCCTCGTGTTGTGAAAAATCTAGTCGCCGGAATTCGTCCCACTTTTCCCTATCGATTTGATATCTATATCCTTTGATAGCATTTACCAATACTAGTTATCAATAACGTTCACCAAGCAGCGCGTTGACAATCACGCTCTGGCCTTGGTTGATTTACCGACTACTTATTGCGTTATAGCTACTCGATCAGAAGCCATACCACTCGTTCTTCAGATCTCACCGCAAGCTTGGGATTGCCACAAGGCTTATGAAGGCTGCCTTGAAGACAATGCATGAGAGCTTTGATGCGGAATACGTCAGCTTGCATGTAAGCACTGTGGGAAAGGGGAGATGGGCACATGGTCAACTACGTGGGTTGGTGACAATTCTGGGAAATTATTATTGGGTTTTGCGCACTTCTACCCAAATTTTCAGCGTAAACTCCTATAATTAGTGAGGAAATTACTAAGCTCAGCTA